GGGACAAAGGCCCCGAAGAGTTCAGTAGTTTTTTGAAGCTGGGAACCAACTTGTGAAGAAATGTTGGGGGGGGGGGGGGGGGGGGGGAGGAGGGGCTAAAGCATGGCTCTCTGGATGTGTGCTCACATGGGAGAGAGAACTTTCCATATGCTGGCCAGATACCTAAAACTGTTGTCTTCCTAGATAGGAACATCACATATAAACCACACCTGAAACCTTAGTGAACAGTGGAACTGCAGAGACAAAGAAATCTGTGTAGTAATATTATGACTTTTCTATTAAAATTTTAAAAGTACTGGTATTTTCTGTGAACCAGATTTCTTCAGTTATAAAAATAAGCATCCTGAGCTTTATGAAATGAAAGTTAGTCCTCAGAATCCGGGGAGGAAACATACAAAACAAGGTAACCACACCAAATTTGAAGTTAAGTGAAGATACTAAGACCATAAAAATGTGTGTAACATTCCTTTCCTCCTTCAGAAATCCTTTGACCCTGAATCCTGAGGACACTTACTTCATTACTCCCAGTTATGAAATTGACCTGTTGCTTCAGTCTCTGGTGAAAGAAGTCCCTGCAGATGGGACAGAAAATTGCTCTAGAGTGGGCTGTCCTCAATGGTGAAGTAGACCTACCAGAGAATTCCTAATACCTCCAGCCAGAAATACATCCTTGTTACTCCAATGACCATCACTGTGCAGTGTGCTATGCCTGATACCAGGTACTCCTTGGAAAGTGATTTGGGCCAAGAGATTCCTCTCTGGTCTTACTCCTGATAAAGAGACTTGGCTGAAAAGTCTCATGAGCCACCTGCACCAGTACCACAAGCAGGATGAAAAAAACATTTAAGCCATGTAGCCAGCATCTAATATCTCCTGTCAGCCATTTTTATACTGCTGTAACTGACATCAGAATATGCTGACATAGACAACATTAATGGACATGGGCAATTGTCCCCAAAAACTTGAAGAAATCTAGAAGCTTGCATTGCTTCTCCAGGAGGACAATCCGTTCCCCTGCAGTGGGATAACAAGCAAGTCCAACTTTCTTTTTAATAAGTCCTCGAAAGACTTATCTCATTCACATAACAAATAAAACTGGAGGGAAAGGGTGCATTTAAAGGGAAAGGAAAGGGAGAGTTGTCTAACAAGTATAGTTGAAGGTTAACAAACTTTTGGAGAGATACTGTCTCCCTCAGAGGAGCTTAGAATAAGATTCCCACAATGAATCCAACTCTTTGTCAAGAAGGATCCAGCCTTTAAGACTGTGGATGATGCAGGATTCCTGGAATAAGGATTTCCTCTCCGGGAGATGTGTGGTAGCCATGGGCCTGCTCAATAAATAAAGGTAATCTCCTAAACTCTTTAAATAAATCTTCTCCAGCGTCTCTACCAGATGCCCATTGCACCGCTCAGTGAAGCAAAGGGACATGGCTCCAGAAAAAGAAATGTGGTTAAGTTTCTCTAAAGATTCTAATATAACAAAAGCCTTAGTCTATCTGTCTGTAACACTTTATTCACACTCTAATTGGCTGTCTCAGCAGCCAATCACAATGCTGACTGAAACAACCAACCAGAGTGCACCAAGAGCATTCCGGGCAGGAGGTGGCTGTGTTGGCTACAAATGTCCAACTCAGGATCCTTAAAATTCTAGTTTATTAGGCAGATTGAAACACTGTAATGACTTAAATCATAAACCTTGGGGCTGGTCCCCACACACACACGCACACACATACACAGTAGCAGGCTACAGAGTCAGGTATACCTATCCAACAAGCACTGGAGTCTGTCATTGAGGCTTCTTTCAGCGTGGTGTTATCTTCCAGAAGGGGGTCACCGGCTGGTCCTTCTGGCTGGACAGGTCTGGTCGAGTTGGAGATCAAGAGGGCGCCCCTGAGGGTCACTTTTCACTGCCTTTTATCTGTCCCTGGCAGACTTTGGTGACTCCCCAGTTTTCAGGTTTGCCCAATCCAGGGGTCACTGACCCTCGTGGGACTTCCCCCCCTCGGTGGCTACTGGACGGCATCTGTCAGCCCCAGGGGTCATCCGCATGAACGTGCAGGTTTGGGAGTCCATTGATGAATTTTGAATAGGGCTCTGGGAGCGGTTGATCTGGAGATATTCAGCCCAAAAGTTGGTCCCCGGTGTTGATCAACTCAGGCCAGGGCTTCTAGCCCTTGATCAGTGACGTTTAGAGATTTCCCGGTTGTTACATTGTCTTCTATTGAGTTCTTCCATTGGCTGATCTGCAGCTTCCAGGTGATAATTGCTGTGTGCTACCTTGTTACACATTCAATCACTGATTCACTCGCTCTTTCAGGGGCCAGCCTGATACAGTGAAGGACAGTTTGATTCCTACCCTTGTTAACATTGTTACAATGTATAATTTACTTATGAAACTAAACATATTCAGTTGAAAGTTGAAAGGTGAGGAGTATAAAATATAAGCTACAAATGCCATGGCACACAAATAGATAAAAATACCAAAATACAAGGGGAGATACAAAATGCGCACACACAAATTTTAAAACACAATTCCTTATCTTAAAGTGAAAGAGAGGAAGGAAGAAAAGGTAGAAAAAGAGAAACATATCCAAAGAAGGGAGAGCAAATGCAGGCAAGAGGAAAAGGGGGCTTTCTGCTACAGCTCGTGCCACCGGAAAGTGCTGCCATGACAGCAGGGACAGAGGGGACAGAGTGGGGGAGGCAAAGCCAGCTGCTTGCACCCCAGGAGGGCACAGAGTGCCCCCCCAGATCTGTGCAAGGCAGAGCAGGATGGGCTGCAGCTGGGGCTGAATGGGGCTCTTCTTGGTGGGGGCTGGGCTTGGAGCCGATGCTGGCAGCGCTGGAAGGATGCTGCATCCACCCCAAATTTCACGGCCACTCCACTCCCAGCGCTGCCACTACCAGCCACCCAGCACAGCCCAGGCTCTTCCCGGTGTGTGAGCTGGGAATCTTACCATTAAATCTTTTCTAAAACTAATATCTAAAGCCAACTAGCAAAGAAAGTCAATAAGCAAAAAACTAAGAGTAACACTTTTTCTAGCAAGCAAACAAACTATGTTAGCTTCTTACAAAGATCACAGAACATAGAAACAGCTGGATTCTCTCTGCAGCTATGGGCCATAAGAAAACATGGCTGAAGCTGCCCAACCCTCCAGCCCCTGGGAATGGAGAGCTAGAAGGCACTCTTGACACAGACATGGCATCAAATAGTACATCTCCCATAGGGGACCTGGCTGGCATCAACAGTGAAATCTTTGTGAGAAATTAAATA